TTTTCTGGAACAACCAGTGAAAGCACGTATTCATTGCTTTGTGTGTAACGAACTCGATTCGATGCACTGTCCTCCAAACGCTGTTCCAATTTCAATCGTACTGCATCCACAGGTCTATATCTTTTCTCATTTTCATCTACTTTTGTGAGAAAATACCTGAAAAAAAGACATATTTTCATCAGAATATAAAGCTGACGAGCTACTACACACAACTCTTTGCTACCACTATGCTGAAAACAACAACATCCCCTCTACTCATTACTGTCATTACCGAAAAATCAGTAACTTAAAAATTTATTAACTTATTAGTATCTACAGACAAAATAATTTTGATATTGCCATACTAGAGCGCTTCGTTCTCAGATTTTGCTTCAGGAACCGGGCAGTACTGAGCAAATTCATCTTTCCTGACGATTCAGAAATCAAACGCCTAGTGAGCCATTCATTCTCATAAAAATCTCTTCCTAATAATTACATATAATGATTGTCCGTATCACTTCTTCACTCTCCTCTTCCTCACTCACTCTTTTGCCAACTCACTTATAACACTCTTTCTTTCTCTTCTCCATCTTGCAAATTAATTACATGACCATTCAAAACATGACGGGTGGGAGGCTGTACTGACGATTCTCGCTCCTACCCGCATGCATAGTTCGGTCTGTGTATACAGCTAAGGGATGTAACACAGACTTACGAGATAGTAAAATATCCTTTGGCACATAACACTTAAGACCAATCTTTGCATTCTACTATTTCATTTGATATCACCGATATGGTGGGCTGAACCAGTAAATTCAAATGTTTGGAGAAATGTGCAGCGAAAAACGTGAAATCGCCTCAGACTGAAGCACGTTAAGAAGCAATCAACAGCTGTTCCAGGTATTCCAGGCGGAAAAAAAAACCCCCCAAAAACGATATGGCAATAATGCCTTAAACAGAATTATTTTCAGTATACCTGAGATATTCATCAGCATCCTGCTGTTTTGCTGTTGAGAATTCCGCATGATCTTTTCCAACAACTTTTCGGAATTGCGTTGGTTTGATACAATTATATTCACTACCTTCCTAAAATGCATGGGTAACAGAACACAATTTTTTTGTGAAATACTCGGGCAAAAACAGCAGGGGTACAATAACCACCCTTCTTTTTCCAAAAAAACAAAAGCATCTTTTTTAACATGAAAATATTTCAAACTCGAAAGAAGACAAAAACAAATAATATTACGAAATTAGTAAAAGTTGAATCGAATCAGAATCAAGCCCCCCGTTCTGATGAAAAATCTCTACTATTAAATTAAAATTACTAAAATATATCCAAAAAAATACTCGTTCAGCAGCTACTGATGGGCATTCTACAACGGCAAATAGCAGCTTAGCAGTACAAAAAGTCGAAGGTTCGATTCCGAAAGTGCAAAAATCAATCTCTCAGCTTAACAGTAATTAAGCAGTTCTCAGAAGGAAAAGAGCATTTCT